ATATTTATATGGAGTATTAAGACATAAATGATATAATAGTTATATGACTGTAAATATAGAAATAAGCAACTTTAGATATTAATAAAATTCCTCCTGCAAGGTTAATTCAGTGTGACAATATTCCCTGATTTGAGCTAATGCCTAATGTCTGTGGCGTCTACGAGCACCATGTACCCCATGAGCACCATGTATCCTATGAGCACCATGTATCCCACGAGCACCATGTACTCCAGTACGACTGTTTCTTCTGTTCCTGCTTCCAGTGCGTTCAAAAAACATGAAATCCTAAAATGTAAAATAATGGGAAACACATTAACTATAAAAACTTCAGACTAAAGTCCAAACATTATTTTATTCATGTTTTAAAAGTGCTACCCAAAGACAGCATCTGAAATAACCTATAACTTCCTGAACATATGAGACTGTTGGGATATCTAAGAACATCTCCAACTTTTAATCAAAGCAGAAAATGATAAGCTTTTTCCTCCCAACAAATCCAGTTATATTTACACACAATTAGACCTGACATCATCCTTGGAAAGAGGTGAAAGGTGATTGCACTGCACACAAGTCCTCTCTGTTTGCTAGTTCTCTATTAAGCACTGGGTAGAGTTATGAATTCAATAATTCTGGGATTGCATGGATTACAAGTGCAACCATGAGATCCTGGGAAAAGACATAGCTCCTTTAAAGAGTTGAAGACAGGTGATACATTTGTGCCCCTTTATGGTAGGAAGCGCCTTTTGGGAATTGAATTCAAAATATTTCACCACCCTTGTCATTACTATAGTTGCCCAGCGTACCCCGCAACTGAGCAATCACACTTTCTGTGACTACTGTTCCACTTTAAAAAACATATCAGCCCAGGACAGCTACAGGAGACATGGTAGATATTCTGAGATATTACCAGAGTGGAGAAGAAGCAACATTCTGGCCTTTTGTTATATCTGGAATAAAGGGACTGGTGGGAATTTACACATTAAAGTGTGATCCTAGGGTATTCTGGCTGGCAGTCTTAAAATATGTCAGCAGTATATTATGGATAATTCCAACCATCACCACTATATTAATTTTTTCTGTTCTAGTAGTCCTTGATGTCCAATAGAAATAAGTGAAATGAGGAGGTGGACTCATGGACTTCACTGCTCTCTACAAGAGCATTACGTCCAACGTGAAGCCTTCCATACTCAACACTGTTGAGTACGTGTGCAAATAATGTGTGCAATTAATTAATTTTTATTTATTGTGGAGTCCTTGGGGTTCTCTGAGCTTGGTTCTTTTCTTGCAAATGTTTCATTACCCAGCTAGGTAACATCTAGCCGGGTAATGAAACATTTGCAAGGAAAGAACCAAGCTCAGAGAACCCCAAGGACTCCACAGGTGAACCCTGAGCTACACAAATTCACCTCTATTGATTTTTATTTATAATTTATTACACAGATTTATATGCTGCTTCATTTCTAAACTGATTCCAAATAGCATGCACTCTAATCCAGGAACAAATTTAATATATAACAATACAATCTATTACAGTATCATCAGTAAAAATACATAAATCAGTTGTGCCACACTGAGGAAAAAGCATTCCAAAATAACTAACCATAATTTACAACACAAGGGATATCCAACTCTGAATTACACCCCTAGGCCTTCCTGGAAGACCCCAGTTTTAAGAGCCTTTCTAAATATCAGCCTTCCTTTCCAGATCTTATTAGCAGAGACTGTTGGGAACAGGTAGTCACAAAGATCCAAGTCCAGAGCCATTTAGGTCTTTAAAAGTGACAATTACATTTTGAATTGCAGGCAGAAGCTAAATGGTAAGCACTGCAGATTCCTTGGTAAAAGATGGTCTTCAAGAACAGCCCTGAGCAGAAAATATTGTAACAGTCCAACTGAGAGGGTGACCAAAATATGAGTGACCATGAGCAAGTCTCAGTTGGGGGCACCATTCCATTTTGTTAGGATTAAGCTGAGTCTGTTTCTCCCTATCCAGACTCTAATAACTTCCAGACCCTGGGACAGCCCTTGACTACATCTTCTGTTTGATCCAGGGTAGAGATCTACAACTCTCCAATAGAAGGCCTTGGGCTTTAACCATTTCCCCCAGACCACCACTGACTGGAATCATCCCGGAGGAGGAAGGAAAACGACTTCAAACAGTGCCCTCATTACCAACCCCTGAAGATGATCCAGGAGAATACTATGCTTGGTGGTATAGAAGGCCACTGACAGACCAAGTAGGACCAGGAAGGCCAATCTCATCCCAATCTCACCACAGATTATCCACAAGAGGAACCAGTGTAGTCTTGGTACCAACTCAGCCTGCAACTTGACTGAAAAGGGTCCAGATAATCTATTTCATCCATGGTTTTCCACAATGGTAAAGCCACCGCCTTCTCTACATTCGTCCCCCAGAAGGGGTTGTTGGAGACTAGTTGATAATTCTCTAAAGGAGTTGAATCAAGTGATGTTTTCTTGAGGATAGGGTGCACTTCCACCTCTTTCAGTGGTGGAAGTACTACCATCTTCAAGGATGTATTCACCACCATTCTCACCCAGCTTCCTGTCACCTTCCTGGAAACTTTAATCAACCTAACCCACAGGTGATGGAACTGATGTCATGAAGAACATTGTCCACTATCTTAAGACCAACAGGCTTGAACTCATCATCATCTCACAAGAGATTAATCACACTATCCTCCCTGCTATATCTCTGCATTCAGTGCATATTAAGGCAATTACCTACCAGCTGTAACAGTTGCACAGCAAAACCTCAGGTACAAGTCAAATGGTTGATCTGAGTTGGTAGAACTAAGCTTGCAGAGGCAAGATTTCTGTCTAAATCATAACCTTCCTCACACCATGTTTTAGTCTCCTGTCCATGAGACTGCTACTAAAGAAAGTGGACAGGTCATCTCTGTGCCATGCTAGGAGTTGATTTGCCTGATGCTCATTTTCCTAGTTTCATGAACCCATTGCCACAGTTCCCAGCATTCACTGAATTGTAATGTTTTAGGCTTAGGACTTACCAAAAGAAAGCAAGCCCCTGTCATGATGGCTTTCATAGTAATATCAAGGTCCACTGGAAACTGGATTTGAAAAATGCTTGCATCAGTAGCTGCCTCTCTCGCGAAGCCAGTCCATGATCTCATTATGTTTCCAATGGTAGATTTCCCATCTAGGGTTTTCACCTGATTTTAGAAGAAGAAGAGCAGTTTTTCTTATTTATAAAATTTATTAAATTTTTTAATATAAACGTATTTAAGTAGTTATTACATTGGTCTTCCCAAAATTCAAAGCCTCCACATTGATATCCCAGCTAGCATGACAGTGTCTCAAAGTATCTGAATTAACTTTAAATACCACCATCAATTAATAAATAGAAATTTCAATATAAATAAATACTACATTCATTGAAAAGCATCATGTTACTTCAAGGTGAACAGAACACCCCTTATACTATCTATATCTATATCTATATTAATTACACTAATAAAAACTAATGCAAACTAAACTCAGAAAGAGAAAGGAAAATAAAAAAGAGTAAAAAGTGCAAAGAAAGTAAGTAAAAAAGAAATGAAAGAAAAGAAAAAGGAAAGAATGAAATAAAGAAAAAGAAAAGAAATATATAAAGTGACTTGCAAACCTCATCACAAGAAGTATAAACAGGTTTGGTAGCTCTTCACCCCCTATAAGATTACAAACAGATCTCTCTTCTTCCCATAACCCATCCCTTATCTATAAGCAAAACCATAAGACGTCAACTTTTCAATCCTGGTATAGCAAAAAGTCTGAAGTCTGAAAGGTTGCCAGAACTTCATAAAAAACATGTCTCATTTTAACCTTGATCAAATAAACCAGTTTTGCCTGCCTTCCTTTTACCTCTGAAAATCTTAATCTTTAGTTCATTCAAATATTGTTGTAGAATTTAATCTCTCTCCAATTCTTCTTTATCCTATTGCACTGGCTTCTTCGAGGCTTTAACAAGACTCTTTTGTAAAACCAATAAAAAAACATTATCCAGGTCATTCTCTTGGTTTATCATTTGCATTTCCCCTTTAATTTTTAAAACTTCAGCCAGCATTTTTTGTAGAACCAGTAAAAAGTCCTTATCCGGATCATTCCCTTGGGCTTTCACTTGTATTTCCACTATAAATACCTTCTCTGTCCTGTCCAATATTTCTAATTCCACTATTTCTGCATCAAGCAAAATTTGTTTCATATCTCTCATTCCTTCATTAACATCCTTTAAACATAGTCTATCCCCCGAAGCAGACATCACTACTGATATTGTAGATATTGTGGATACTAATTTCTGGCTGAATTCTTTGAAGATCTCCTTTAATATTTCAAATGTTATAGTGTTTTGTGTCATTTTGTAAATCACAGTCCTAATCAGAACCAAAGGCAGGTTTTTTGTTTTTCCTTTTTGCCTGGAATAAGTTTCAGCTGATATGACAGCATTCCACAGAACAGTAGATGACCTACAGTATTACCCCACTTTCTCCCAGGCAAATAACTGGATTGATGCCTGCCTGCCTGCCTGCCTGCCGAGATTATTAAAAAGAAAGTCGGAAAGAAGAAAAAAGAAAAAGAAATAGAAAAAGAGATTTACAAGCTGTATAAAATTAGATTAAGAATTTTCAAAGCAACATTAGATTAATGTTATATATAAAAGGGTTTATATAAATTTAGCACTTTAAAACTATTCTTGAAATTAAATCAATAAGCAATAATAAGCAAAGGCAGCCAATGTAATCAGTCGGAATAAACAATTAATAGGAATGTCTATCTCATTTGAGAGAGTCTCTCCTTAGAGCTGACTCTGTATACTTTGCAGGAACGTAACCCTTCACAGTCCTTAACCAAAAACCAGCTGGCTGGCAAGAAAAGTTGACATTTAATTTTTGTTTTATTCTCTGGTGAATCACTTTTCAAAATGGTTGAGCTTATGAAACATTTGAAAAAATTATCCAACCTGGTTATTGCATTTCCAGAATTTTTTAAAATATGAATTATCTGTTTTGGCAGTCACCACTGGAGTAATATATCAGTGATAAATACCAATTTTCTCAGAGTCTAGTATTCACAATAAATTTGATATTTATTTCCCACTGGTATTCCATAGTTGCGTATCAATAGCTCTGTTTAAATTCTGTATCTGTGCAATCATATTATCTTTTATTTCTTCAGTTTCTGAATCATATTTTGGTAGCAACTTATGAATAAGCCCCAACAGGTATTCTGAATTTTGTGTTATAAGCATTTCAAATTCCATCAGGTCTCTAAGAGTTCTGCCTTGCTTTGTCATTGTTTTTAAACTATACTACTTGTTTGAAGATATTGAAGGCATTTCTGATCATTTTAAGGAGACAGTCTCAAAATATGTGACTGTTAAAATGAATGTATTGCCTAAGATTTTAGTTTGTTTCAAATGGTCCTGGGGGGGGGGGGG